CAGTATATTCAATCAGAATAGAATCCAGGCGTGGTATCAGGTTCTCGTCCAATATCACCAGTAAGATATGAAGATTCTGTACAGCAGGTACAGACTCGAGACATGACATTGAGGCCTGTGGTGCATCTCGATCCTGGGATGCTCCGCGTTCGATCAGATTTCAACCGAGGGCAAGGGGGAGGAGATGAAAAAGTTTCTCTCAAGAAGGCGCGTCCCCAAGGCATCGGGCAGGGATGTAGGGAGGGAGGGAAGGAAGGGGGAGATGGACGGACGAACAGATGGATGGAGACTTGAGGAGAGGGGGTGGTGTACATGTGCAAGGACGGGCGTGTTGCTTCAATCACAGGTTCGTCATTTCGAGGAGAATTTCTTACTGTGGTAGCGTTAAGATGTGTGGAGAGATTACAAAGGGAAGTAAAGGGAGTGGTACACTTGAATTAGATCAGTTGAGCTCCTTGCCCTGGAGCTCAACTCAGCCTTCCAGTCCCCTCTTAGTCATCATGGAAAGTACCTGCGGACTTGTTGATCCTTCGAAGCTCTCTCGAAGCAACCTGCCAAACTCTCACTCGGGGACTCATTGCTCCAGGGCAAGCATCACATTGTCCATGTGCTCTTGAGCCTTCCTCGGTATGGCGAACTGCAGGGAGAGAGATCAGGTGAGTCTGCTCGCTAGCAGCAGGAGCTGGTTGAACCTTCGACTGGAGGAGCTGCTGTGCGTTCGTCTTATACTCGGCCATGTCCTAGTCAACGAGGCGTCAGAAGGCTCAGACGCAAGGGACGGGCAGCTGACCGAGTCGTCTTCCCACGTGTCCTCGTTAGCAACCTGCGCATACGGTCCCTTCTTCGCCAACGAGTCGTACATCCATGCAACGTTGGTTCCCAGCGATCCTCCCCCTGCCTCCACGTTGTTGGCGAACTTCGCCATCTCCCAGGAGCCCAGGGAAGGCTTGGCTATCATCTTCGGATCCTGTTTGTCTTCCTTCTTTTCCACCTGCTGCACCTCGCTATTCATGGCAGACTTGATAGCCTGCATGATCTTCTGCGCTCCCTCACTCCCCAGCGATGCCTTCGCCTCTGCTTGCACTTTGGCAAGATCAGCTGAAACGCGATCCACTTCCCTCTCCTTGACCTCGTCCCGCACCTGAACGAGTGAGAGAAGTTACAAACGTCTTCCAGCTTCCCAGGCCATACCTTTCTCCTCTCGTTCGCGAAGCTAGCAGGAGATTCGAAGACCTCCGGCACGCCAGCACTCGCCTGAGGCTTGTGGGCTGTAGAGACCTTGGTTCCCTCGTTGGACATGCCGGACACCTGACTTTCCAGCTCCTTGATGATCGCTTGCTGCGCTTCTACTTCGCTCTGCAGGCAGACAGTTCAACATCACGAACATCAACCACAGGAGCGGCGGGTCCGCTCATCGTGTACCTGAAGTGCGTTCGTTCGGTCAGCCGCTTCCTGCGCCACCTCCTTCACTGCCTTCGCAAGAACCACGTTCTCCTGCAAGGTAGCACATAAGCCCTGTGACACATCGGGAAGATGGGATAAGTACAGGATTCGCGTCGCCCCCTTGGGCAATGGTGTTCGACCTGAAAGCAAGTGAGCAGCGAGGAAACGAGTTCTTGATCTCGAACTCACTCGTCCTGTGAGCCTGCTGGAGATTCGTGATTCATCATTGGGTAGTCTTCCGCGGTTGGCTCGGCAGTAAGCGGCTTACCCCTCGCATCCACGACAACCAGAGAGTTTCCTCCTGCTTTGAAGTCAGGAGGCGATGCGGCAACTCCTTCAAGTTCGCACCGGAGAGGGGCAACGGGACTCCGTCTTCCTCAGTCAGCTTCTGCGACATCGCTTGCCCAGCCATCTTCGCTCCTCCGTGCATCAACGACTTGTATCCCAACTCGTGGGCTACTTTGGCACGTTCCTGTTTTCATAGCTCTCAGTCGAAAGGACAAGACTGTGGCCTCTCCCAACCTTGGCGAGGTCATCGCTCGTGAATAGGTGATGGGTCGTTGGGCTCCTTCCGGACTTCTGAAGGAACCTGTTGATGACCTTGAAGCCCGTAGCCGTCAGAGCAAGCATCGAGATCGGTTCAGGTACATGAAGGGCTTCGGCTTGCTCCTGCGAGTGGACGTCCGGAGAACCTTGTGATTCTGAGGGATGTTTGAAAGCTTGAGGGTCCAGCTGCTTCTGCGCATCCCGGAAACCCTTCTTGTACATGGCTGCTTCCTCCTCGAGCTGCCAGTATAGCATGAGTGGCACAATACGCATACGGAGATCTTCGACCTCTTGCTGCTTCTTCTCCTTGTTCTCTAGTCGCATCTGCAACAGGTACAAGTAACTGGTAGAAATCACCCTGGAAGTCGATACAAACCTCTCCCAAGACACGTTTCACGATAGCTGGAGGATCCAAAGTCATCGTCCCATCCGCATAGTTGATGTAATAGCGCCTGGAATGATGCTCTTAAGCTTCTATCGTCCCTGCTTACTCCTACCTTCCAGCATCATGCCCTTTCGTGACAATTCCGCTTCCCCAGAACTTGGACACATGCTTGATGATCGCGTCCTCTTCCTTCTTCTCCAGCCGAGCTTCAGCCTTGCAGCAAATCAGTCTCTCCACATACCCATCTCCTCCTTACAGCTCGCTTCAGAGCATCCATCTTAGCCTGCGCAGCTTTCTTCTTGACCAGCCGAAGCCATCGACGGACCGCCCCGTGCTTGGGCACCTTGAGGGCCCCATCGATGTATCCTTCACTGACCTGCGATCAAGCAATGAGCTGGGCACAGCAGCAGCTCCCGACCGCAACCTTCTTGGCGATCAGGTTCCTCTCGCGATCGAGGCTGTCCTCGGTGACATGACCGTCGTAACGACGTCGAAGTCTCTGAAACTTGGTTCCCTGAAGACCGCAGTCAGGCAAGGGAAGGAAGAACACGCTGGTACCTTGAGGTGATTGTGATAGGCCTTGCGAATGCAATCGATAGGGTGCACTGCCCAGTCCTTGCAGGCATCGTGCGGGTTGTATGATCGCATGTTGCCCTCGTACCGGACAACCGATGGATCCTTCTTCACCTTGGAAGGAGATTCCTTGAAAATCGTCAGGAAAAGATCACAATCATCGTGCATCTTACCCCGAGTGCAACTTTCTTGATCAGAGACTTGATGTTGGACCCTTGCTCCTTGTCATCATGCTGCTTCTCAACAAGTTGCTACATGACGTCAGCAGCCCGTCTGCGCACACCACAAGAGAGAGAGGGAGAGAGCACCTGGTTCTGAGACAAGGTCAAGGAGGGATCATAAGGCTTCCAGTCTGGACGAGCTCGTTGCCAGTCCTCTCGAGTCTTCTTCACCTTGTTTTTCTGCATCGCTTCGTCACTAGACTTCTCCTTCTCGAGAGGATAGCAGGACCTGCACACTGTCGGGGCGCTCCTTCTTCTGATCGGCAGGAGGCTTGACGGCCTCGGCCTCAAGAGCCTTGGATTTCGCCTTGGACTTGAGAAGGGAATCGAGCTTGTGGATGAGCTGTGAAAGTGCCTGGTGAGCCGACGCTTCCACTGCACCAACAACCTCACCTGCTGCTTCTGGTCTGCCGGTCCCTTGCTGGATTTCTACAACAACCGACGTCAGCATGGCGCCGACTCTCAGCAGGAAGGGGAACCTCGCCCAACAGGCTCACTGGAGCATCGGAGAGCTGCCATGAGACTAGAGCGATGGCAGCGCACGCCACCTGAGAACGGGATTCAGACCGCAGCTGGAGGGGTGGTGGACTCACCACCAGAAAGCCAAGGAGGCTTAACTGAGCCCTCTGCATCATCCGGCTCCTGAGGGGGATGAATCAGCAAGCCGGAACTGCCAACCTTCCGAGGGAGTTCACAGGAGCATATGGCATGAAACCCAGGTATCTCTGCCATCCCCTTCCCTCGTATCCCCTCTATTTGATTACGCGCCTCCTATCTTTGTCTAGGTTTATTTCACCATCCTGCGATCCTTCTGTCTTCTTCTTCCTCCCCCTCTGCCTGCTCCTTCTCCTGCTCCTGCCCCTGCCCCTGCCCCTGCCCCTGCCCCTGCTCCTGCTCCTGCTCCTGCTCCTGCTCCTGCCCCTGGCCCTGGCCCTGGCCCTGCTCCTGCCCCTGCCCCTGCCATCCCATAACTCGACCATTGTCCCTTCGCAATACCGTTACAGTGTAACTACCCCGATGAAAACGATCACATTGCTGACCGTTGTTGCACCCGTTATGGACCCTAGGTGCCATTTCCTAGGGTGGGTTACATAACCCACCCCGACATTAGAACCTTTTCAGAGATTAACAGAGGGGTATTTAGACATTGAAGTACCCACCCTACCTATGAGATTCCTGTCAATATCAATACCTTCCCGCCCATCCCTTCCCCCATCCTGCCCCGCTTCCTTTTAAAAACTTCCGGTCTCCCCCCCTTCCTCCTCCTCCTCCTCCTCCTCTCCTCCCATTCCTCTGGTTCTTCTCCGTCTCTCTTTCGTCCAGATCATAATCTTCGTTGTCTTGTTTGTACTCTGCATTTTCTTGAAACTTTCCCCCTCTTTCTCTGCCCCAAAAGCACACCTCTCCTATAAACTCCTCCCTTTATCCACACACTCTGCTTCCCACAAACACGACCTCTTCCACTCCGATCTTCCTCTCTCACTTGTTCTGATTTACCCTGCCAACCTGTTCGATCGCCTCCTCTCCCTCCTCTTCCGTCAGGCAACGTCTAGCACGCCTGTCAGGTGTTCCCATTTCCTTTCGCCGCCCTCTCAAAGATGGCCGATCCAAGCTTTCGAGCAGAGAAGGCGATGATGAGGCGTTCGATAGAGGATTCTTTCCACGTCCTGGGGAAGGTGAATGAGGGAACCTTTGGGGTAGTGTACAAGGCGGTCAAGGCAGAGGACAAGGAGAAATACGAGCGATTCAAGCACAACGCAGCAGAGCTGAGCAAGATGACCTTCCTTGCTATCAAGAAGCCTAAGAACTCAAGAGAGGGAGAAGGCTTCAACAAGGATGCGGTGAGGGAGATCGCCCTGCTGAAGGAGCTTTCCCGCCACCAGAACATCGTGACGCTGAGGGACGTGGTTCTTTGCCCTGAGGGGTCTGCAGCCACCAAGGGACTGTACCTGGTGTTCGATTGGGCCGAGTTCGAACTCTGTGAGATCCTGAAGAATCACAGAGACAAAGGGATGAAGCCGCCGGGGGAGAGGATGGTGAAGTCGATCATGTGGCAGATTCTGAATGGGATCAGCTACATCCACCACAACTGGATTATCCACCGCGACCTGAAGCCCTCCAACATCCTCATCATGGGCAAGGGACAGGAGTATGGACGAGTGAAGATCGCGGACTTCGGCATGGCGAGACTGATCCAGCAGCCCCTCAGGGCCCTGCACCTCGATGGTGTAGTAGTGACAGTTTGGTACCGGGCTCCTGAGCTGCTGATGGGGGCGAAGCATTACTCGAAAGCGATTGACATGTGGGCTCTGGGGTGCATCTTCTGCGAACTGATGACAAACACGCCTGTGTTCCAAGGGAAGGAGGACAAGCAGCCGAAAGCTCTGCAGGAGGACCAGGTAAAGCAGAATGACGGCTGGAAGGCGGGAGTGGTAGCGGGGAGGGACGGAGGGAGGGAGGGAGATAATTGTGCTGAAGGTGGCTGGTGTAAGAGAAGATTGATGTTTGCGTGTTAACAGATCCGTAAGATATTCCGCGTCATTGGGAAACCCACAGCACAGGATTGGCAACAGATTACGGAATTGCCGGAATGGAACAAGATAGCTGCTCTCAACATTCCTGTACGTTGTCTCTTGTGATTTTTCTGATTCGAAGCAAGATGTCAGCTGTATTTTCTCACACTCTGCCTTCGCACACAGGCGGAGAAGAATTCGAGCATTGAAAACAGCGTCCCAGCATTGAGACAGGTAACGACAAAAGACAGCATACAATACCGAATCTCATCAGTCTCTGGACAGAATCCTCACGCGTTGGATCTTGTGAAGCGGTTTTTCGATTATGATCCGAAGAGGTGCTGGAGGAGATGTCCTCAACAACATAACAACAGAAACTGAAACATGTTGCCACAGGAGGATCAGCGCACAAGACGCCATGTGCCACTCCTACTTTACCTCCTCCCAGTTCCCCTTCGACAATGTATTCCAAGGGTGCGTCTGCTTTCTACCTCACAGCCTCTGCCTCCCCTCCCCCTCCCCCACATGCATAACTTTCATGCATCCTCGCACAATCTTGTGCCCACCTTCAAACATCTCCATCTGTCTCCTCCCAGACGTTTTGTCCTCTGATGGCAATCGCTCTTCCCTTCTCCTGCTCTTTCCTATTTCTCTGTGTCCTTCATATCGTCCGTCCTGTAGATTTCTCAACTTGTCATACAGGGAACCTGGCTCGCCAGCCACGGAGATCGCAGCCTACGGTCCCCGCTCTCTAACTGCAATCGGCATGAACGGACAGGTACGACAACGGGGCGAACAGGGGGAAGGAGCAAGGAGGGGAAGCACAGTGAGAGTGGGACTGAGCATGATGGAGGAGAAGCGACGAGGAGCACTAGGACGAGGAGGGAGGAGGAGCATGATGGAGGAGAAGCGACGAGGAGCACTAGGACGAGGAGGGAGGAGGTGGTGGAGGGAGGAGAAGGTGGAATTGGAGGAAGTAAGTTATGACCACCTCGCTAACAGACCTGAGAGACGGGAGAGGCGGAGAGACGGGAGAGGCGGGGAGACGGGAGAGGCGGGGAGACGGGAGAGGACAGGGAGGGAGGAGGAAACGAGAAGACAAGGACGAAGACTTGCGGGCGAGGGGGAGGGAGGGAAGGAGGATGGAGGTGAGGGATTTGTCTTGAGGACTGAAGGAGCTTGCAGCTGGTCAGAAGAGAGCGTACTCTCAGATGAACATGATGCCGAACAAGATGCAGAGAAAGTGAGAGCCACGAGAGTCGTCCTGTACATAGTGTGTCTATAGGTAACAGATAGGTTTGCTAGCTCAACCCGTTAAAGTGAAGAGATTAACTCAAAGGAGGAGGCGGATGTTTGCACATCGCACATCCCTCAGGGGTCTGGGTTGTGGGTAACTTTGTAAGGGCAATACTCGCCTGGCCGGCACTGCAATCGCGGTGAGGAAAGAGAGTGAGCGAGGAGAGAGGAGACGATGAAGAGGAGGAAGTGGGGAGGGGAGGAACAGGGCTGGAGGAGGAGGAGGAGGAGGAGGAGAGCCTCTGCCTCTATCTTCTTCGGCAGGTCGCATGTGATGGGTGTTAGCCTGAACTGGTTGGTGGTCGTGGTGGCCTCCATGATCGCGCATGCCTCCTGTGTCTCGTGGCGCAGGAGGCAGAACCTCCCAACGACATGCCTCATGGAATCGGCTAGCTCCTCTGCCATGTACAGGTCCTAGACCTTCATGGAGGACACCCTGCTGCCCCTTATCTCACCCCGCAGCCTGGCGATCCTTATGTACCTTGTGTAGATGGACTCGTAGTAGTCATATACCTACCTGTCTTCAAGGGTTTTTGAGTCCAGGTTTTGTAGGCTTATCCTGGCAAGGTTGTACAGGGCGCTTTCCATCTCTCCATATCCTTGAGCTCGGCGCGCCTTGGCTCAACGATATTGGCCCCTGTGGAGGACATGATACTTGAGGGGTACCTTGAGATATGCCGGGAAGACATAAGGAAGTTCAACGATGAGAACTTCATGTGCCAGATGTGCTGTGCGTGACTCCCGAGGTCCGAGTGTGGCCGGATGGGCATGTGCCATGCCTGCCTTGAGAGGTACGTGGTCCCTCCAGCGCCCTCCTCATCAAGCCTGAACGTGGGGTCTAGGAGGAGCTCGTGTGCCAGCTGCTCGTTGGTCATCTTGCCTGGCATCGTGGAGTCCCTGGACCAATCATTTTTACGAGAGTGAAGGGCAAATCTGCTGCAGAAACCTGCTCATTCACTGACCCGATACCTGCCTGCTATCCTCTTGCAATGATGACAGCCCATCATCCGATAGAACATATTCGGTGCTTGGGCCATCCGTTATTGTGCCAAGCCCGTGTGTGTCATCCCTTACTTGCTCCCTCGCGAAGCTGCAGTATTCCGGATGGATCACCTCCCTGAGCACCATCCTGCCCGGATGGCCCTCAGATTCCTCATCAAACCTTACCTCGCACCTTATCCCTTGTTCATCCTGCTCATCTATGCCAATACTCCTGTCCTCCTCCTCTCCTCCACGGACCCATCATCAAGGTGGTAGTGGGGCATGCTGCGAGATAAGCTCTTGATGCTGTCCTGAACAGCACCTTCATCAGGCCATGATGGTTCAGGTACACGTCCTCTCCGAACACCTTGCAGTGCCTATCGTTCAGGTGCTCGCTTGTCTCTTCAGGATTAAGCGAGAGCTCTCGGCACACATCCACAAGCTTGAAGAAGCACTCGTTGTGTGAACAGTTGTTGCCCCTGCATCCAATCCTTGGCAGCAGGGTTGCTAGGCACTTATCCTTGATGTCGCACCTGTTGAATCCGATTGTGGCTGGGATGTTCTGAGACACTGTGTTGCTGTTAGCCTGCTCTTACATCATTTTTTGGTGGATGGTTGTACAAATGAAACATTGCCCTGGAGCTGATGAGCATACAGGATGTACTATCTCGGGGAGATTGGAGAGCTCTCTTATGCGTTCGAGGCATACGTGTTCAAACTAGATGACGTGCTTCGGCAATTCGGCATACAAGAGACCGACAAGGGATGCATAAAGAGCCACACGCTCTCTGTGGGTGATGAGAAAATAGATTTCATCGAGTACCATGTTTATGATCTCAGCACAACGGTATTAGAGCATACGGGACAGCCTTGGAAGGGTCTTCTAGAGTGTTGCGAATGGATGCTTTGTTCTAGCAAAATCTGCTGCAATACTCGGGCACATCCGTCCTCCCTTTTACTGCCATCCTCTTGGCTCTCTCCGACAGCCTTGGTATCTCCTCCTCCATAAGCTCATGGTACTCGTCATAGGGCATGTACCCATGCGTATCGCGTATCTCCTGCTTGAATTCTGTGATCAGCCTGTTCATGATTCTCTTGTACTTCGTTCTGGTGAAGAAGTAGTTCATCTGCATCATTGTTGTCACAACCTCATCAATGTCATTTCTCTTGCCACTGATGTAGTCTGAGCACACGGCGGAGTCATCCCTCAGTGCTAGGCCCCTCTCTGCCAATCTCTGCACGAGCATCTCCTTCCTGTCTTGTCTTGCCGACCTCTCCCTGTCCTCTTTCTCCTTGGCTGCCCTGACCATTCCGACAGCAGCCTCGATGTCATCCATCTTGTTGTTGATGTACATATCACAGGCCTCTGTGCTGTGCTGCATTAACAGCCCCTCCTGTGACAATCTCTGGACCAGGTCCTCTGTCCTTTGCCTGACAGCTTCCGCCTTGTTCCTCTTGGTATCTCGCAATCTAAGTATCCGTTGCTCCTTCTTCGTTAAGAACTCTTGCAGCCTGGTAGTCCCACCATGCTTGATGAGAACGAACTCTGTCACCTCGGGCAGATAGAAGAACCTGCATGACTTTCTGTAGCGCCTTATGTACAACCAAGAAACGGTGAGATTGGACAGGTCATTATCGTTCAGGTTCCATTGCCTCTTGCATTCTGTGGCGGATATTGTCCTGCCCTCGATACACTTGCCGCAGAGCCCGAAGGCATTGGAGGCAAGGGGCTTGCGGTTGCAAGAGCGGCACGTTTTGCCACCGTACTCCCTCCGGGTGAACCTGCACCTGCTCCAGACGTTGCATTCCTCTATGCATTGATTGAGCTCCTTGCACACAACCTTCAGCTTGCAAAGAGAGAAGGCGCTGTGGGCGTTGTGATGTAGCAAGAACATGTTCAATATTACATGCATTGCGGTATACTTTTTGGCGCCAAGAAAAAGTTTGTGGCTCCCCTTCCACTCCCTTGAAAAGCCCGCCAAGAAAAGTTTGTGGCTCTCCCTACCACCATAAAAGCCCGCCAAGAAAAGTTTGTGGGTATCGTAACCATGCTCCTCCCGTGTCGCCATTCTCAATCTCCCCGAAGGAGGGAACGAGGAAGCGAGGGAGCGAGAGAGCGAGAGAGGGAGGGAGGGAGGGAGGGAGGGAGGAGGAGGAG